CTCTAGCTAGCTAGAACCCAGGCTCCCAATAATTTACAGTATTAAAATGCATCCTTTTTCTGGAAAACCTGAAGATTTCTCAGAACCTGGCCCATAATTCTCACTAATTTCTGTGATTGCTATTCCCTTGGGCTGCTGGATATTAATGCCAGGTCATTCTGTTGGCCTTTATTAAACTAAATTAATTCTGCTAAAACTGTATTTAAAATGTGAATTACCTTGGCAAGTGGGCAGAAAAATATGCTTTCGATGATATAATTGTTGCCCAGTAGAACACTCTTATGTTCCATGAGCTGTCATCCCTGCATATAAAACTGAAACAGAAGTCTGTTACACAGTTTTTGGACTAAGTACTGTTCTTATTCACCCCTGCCAGTGCAGCCCAAGAGAGCAGAATGCAGCTCTTCATGCAGGCACATGTTTGAACATAAGAAAATATCTAATGCGGGAAGGACACAACAAACGTCATTGATTCCATACTTGGCAGTGAAGAACAGGGGCTGCTGGCCTCACAGCTTGACCTACTTGGAGTTTCTCCAGAGAACAGAGTGCATCCTTCCTACGACTAAACAGATTGTCTTAATTTCCCTGGGGCAAAGATACATATTATATGATGATGCAAATCCCTGAATTCACTAGTGTTACAAGATTTGATTAATGAGGATTCTCACTGCAATACAAATGGTAACCTAGTTTAGGAGTAGCATTAAATCCCATGGGAAAACTTGAGCACTTTGGAATGATCAAAGCATATAATATGAAATTTTTCTCATTGTCATTTACTTGGATGCTTGAAGTTGACAACAGTTGGTTTCTTTGACATTAACATAAAGCTTTAAAATGATAGGATAACAAAACAAAAACTGAATCTGAACCCCATGACAAGAGGGAGCTGCAGCAAACATAGGTATGAATTGTAACCAATGACAAGTGTGTGGTTCACCCCAGGCAAGAAGGGTAATCATTTTGAATGTGTTCTTTCTTTTTGTTGGACACTACTCTCCCACTCCCTTGGTTATAAATGATAATTCCCAAGGACTAA